AAATTTATATTAAAAAAATAAAAAATTGACGTTTAATTTATCAATTGTACAATTAAATTCATTTACTTCGTATCAACATTAAAATTAATATTAATTTTTATATTTTTCTATATATATTTATAACAAAATGTGCCATTAACCTGAAAATTCCTAAAATATATGGTCAGTGTTTTCGCATTTTTAAAGAATCCTCTCGTTTTGAGGAATGAGAGCAGAATCAGAGATAAAATTATATACATTAATTATCGTAATTGTTGTTTAATTAGCGTAAACATGAATGAAACAAAAATAAATGTCTAATATATTTTCTAATTGCAAGAAGAATATAAAATTCAACTGCTCTTGATTATTACAATAATTAAGTTTTAAATGGATTAGGCCAAGACAAATCTGATATAATATTATATAGTACATTGTATGATGCATTAGACTAACTAAAATTGGTTATAATAATATTATCTTGATTATGTAAAAACAAGATTAGAACGGAAAACCCGGTCGCTTGACTTGGAAGATGATGATGGACGAGGATTTTGATTAATTAAAACAATGGTTTAATTAATCAATAACCTTAGGAATAATCTGGTCATTCTCTCATCTCTCTTTTCTAAATTATCTCAATTATTTTCCCTAATTACATCTTAATTCCTGTTCATTGCATCTATATCTAGCTAGGTAAATTAATTCAACCATGACTTTATTTGAAACATATTCTTTATGAACAAAAATTTACATATAACATCTATTGTTCAATTCTTTGCTTGATGAAATTCTTAATTGAAAACAAAAATCCATGGTAGAGTGATTAATTATTAAAGCATATTCCAAAATTATGCAATTCTATGAAGATAAGCACAAAGAGGATTTGTGATATATACTAGAACAATTGATTTTCTGTAGTAATAATAATGTACGTTTCATTAGGCACAAGGCAAGTATTTACTTTCTCCAACATCATGGAACATCTTCCATCTTCCGTATATAATATATAGATTCAAAGTGGAGAATAAATTCATCCATCTCACATCTTTAATTACAATATTAATTAAGTCCACTAGCTAGGCAATAGTGACAAAATTAATTAAATTATTTATCATATATCTTTCTTATTAACAAGTTGAGATATACTGAGTTTTTTTATTAAGAGGCTGCAATATTGGAAGCAAGTAAAGAATCCCGATGGATAATTAAACAACAAGATCTATGTATGATTGTTTGAATCATTAGATCACTGTTGATCGTTATAAAAGGAAAAAAAAAAACAATTAATATGATCTTATAATATCGAGTTCGACCTGCATGCATTTGACTATGGTAATCAATTAAATTAAAATGAGTAAATTAGCTAAGTAAACTGTAAATTATAACTTGCTAAGTAGAGTGGGAAAGACAAACTTAAATATATATGGTGGGAATAATCAAATAAATGGAGCTAGAGATTCTTGGGGAAGAATGACTCTCAAAACAAGTTTATGTTGACGATTAAGAAAATAAAAAAGTATTTTTCAAACTAGACTTACAATGAAAATATTGTTTGACACTCTTAATAGATAATCTAATTTAAAAATATGAATATGTATCTTTAAAAAAAGTCAGTGATATATCATTCTCAACCACTAAATTAAATTTTTTTAACCAATTTGATACTATACCACTTTGTACACTAAACACCACACCATGACTTGATTATGGAGATAAAATAATAGTAATGGAGTAAGATATTAAAAAAAATGAAATATATAATTAAAATTGATGCCGATATATGAGTTCATCAAGACATGACAGACCTAATCGTCTAATTATTTTAGGATGTGAAGGTGTTCATAATTTCATATATGGACCACTTGTTAAAGAATATAAAATCTGAAATTAATAGTACATGAGTAGAGAAGAGTACCAAGAAGAACTGCTATCTATTGTTATCTTCAAATAATATGATTTAGAGCCAATTAACTGAACTTCTTCTTCTTCCCACACCAAATGGATATCTAAGAGTATCAAGAAACATTAAATCTAAGTAGACTCCCATATATATATCATCTGAAATCGCTTGAATGATCATATATAAAGAAAATTTTAGTGAACAAATAAAATCAATTCGTTTATGGACTAGTGGAATATCGAGCTGCTTTGGGATTTAATTTGATCCTGGTTTATGTCAAAAGATTTGGGAAGACGAGAGTTTTTAGAAAAGAGAGAGAGAGAGAGAGAGTGTAGGAGGTTGATCATTCCCTAGAGAAGAAGAGGAAAGAAAAGTCAGAATGAACATGAATGTAATTGCAGGGAGTGATGTTGGTGAGAGATGTATATATACCAGCAAAAACACATCAGAGAAGAATCCTCTCTATCATAAAACCCTTGCTCCCCCTCTTTATAAATTTTGTATAATTTATTATGGAAAACAATACAAAAGACATGTTACCAAATCCTTGCAAGATTCATTCAAACCCCTTTTTATTTTTGTTAACAACGAGGTAATTCAGATTTTATATATCTGCTTGTCTGGAATCAGACAAGACACACAGGATGACGAAACCCTAACTTCATTTCCAAACAGCATCATTCACATTCACATGTAGTATCAGCAAACAAGGAGATTAATATTAATTCCGGAAATCATAAGGTTGTTCAGAAGTCAAAAATAAAAACGTACCCTAAATTTAACATTGATGGATCGACATTAGGACACGAGATGATGCCTTTTATGCTCCAAAAGTTTTTTTTCACTCTTCCGTCCGCAAACTGCATGCTTCAATGTTCAATCTTCATATTGCAGTTCACAGATTTCATCTCAAAATGGAGGAGGCCTAGCTCCTGATGAGTTTCCGGGCCACCCCTCAACCGGTAACTGCACATTAGGCGGCATGTTCAGAGGCAAATTGAGGAACGGAAACCCACCGGGGGCTCCTGCTCCAGCATCCGCAAACATGTTGTTCCCACCGCTGCCACTACCACCTTGCATCTGAAGCTGGTCATCCTCCTCCAACGGCAGTCTTTCGTAGGCCACATTCGTAAAAGATGCTGCCATCACGATCACTGGCCCTGCCGCCATAAGCTCCCCAACCACACTGCCTCCAACCACCTGCCCTTGTCCGCCAGCTAAATAGATTGTCAAGCTGGTTGCACCTGGAGGAGCCGGAGGAGGCAAGAACGAACCGGAGAGTGACAATATCTCGAATCTTCCATGAAGCGTGACTACAGCGCCAGCCGCCGCGGGTTGCCTAATGCTCACGTTGGTGACCGTCCCGCTTCCGCTGAGAATACAGATTCCACGCTGCCGTCTCCGAGCATAGTTCGCGATGCAGTCAAACACATCGCAGCCGTTTCCAACTTCAAGAATGTGAGCTCGGAGCGTGTTTGCGCTCTCCCGAGTTATAATAACCGGAGGCTTAGGTCTGTTCTTGGATCCCGGTGGGCGACCCCGTGGCCTCCGGGCCACGATGTCACCAGACCCAGAGTTGGTCCCCACGTTGCCAAGGTCTAAACCTTGGTGATGACTGCCATCATCCTCTTGATCAGCGGCGGTGAACTGACCACCGGCGCCAGCTCCACCATCATGATCTTCGGTTTCTGGATTGTGCTGGAGATGGAGGTCGGATCTGTGGAGCTGATGTAGATAACGAGAAGCAGTGCCCAAATCAAGACCGGCCATGCCAGCATCAAAAGAAAAACACAAAAACAAGAATTAAAAATTAAAAACTGTTCTTAGGATTTTTAAAATATTTATAAATAATAGGAGAAAAAAAAAAAAAAGAAAGGGAAAAAGAGGCAGCTCCGGGACTTGAAGAAGATAAAATAGATTTTGAAAAGACTTTTTTTGGAAACAAAAAACAAGAACAAGGAGATGAAGTGCAGAGAAAGGGAAGGGGAAGAAGGGGAGAAGAGAAGAGGAGACAGAGACTCTTAAAACGTAGTCATTTGTTTAACCAGTAGTTTAAATATATAGATTAAAAAAATGATTGGTTGATTAAAAAAATTTAATATGCTTTTCTTAATTTGAGGAAGAAATGGTGAGGATGCAATGTCTGATTGCCATTTTAGGAGCGTGGGTTGAACGCGTTTATTGGATTATTCTGTTTCTTCCAATGAAATTTTGTCTTTTATGTTTTAAATAAATTGGTGGGTATTTGAATTGCCGGTGCCAGTCCAGGATGACGTGTTCGACTCTTATAGAATTTATTTATTTTTTGTTTATGTATATATGTAAATAATGTTAAAATTATTTAAAAAAAATTTAATGGGTATTTAAATAACAAAGATAATTTCATTAGTAAACTCTCAAAATGTATTTACCAAAAAAAATAAACTCTCAAAATGTTAATTAAACTCATAAACTTATGGATCTATTGACTTGCTTGTACCGCATGGATCATGCCATTTTTTTGTTTATTAATTGTTGGTTTCTGCTATATGTGTGCTTATAGTTAACATTTAATCCACCATTTGTTAGCCATTAATAAGTATTTTAAAATTTTTTTACTAACTTTTCAATATTCAGTAACCATATTGGATCTCGATTAATCTGGAATTAAATCAGGTCGAACTTCATTAAGAAAAAACTCTCTCGATGCTCATTTCTCCATTCAAAATACTCGAATTTAAATCAACAAGTTGTTGGTAGTATTTTAAATTTTTTACAACACCGAGTATGATGCTTTTCTGTGCAATAGTAATTTATACAATATTATTTAACATTAAATTAGTAAATATAGTTTATTAAATTTACACATATAACATTTGAATGAAAAAAAAAATTAATTATAAATTATAACATTATATGGTACAAACATTGTAAAAATATACTGTAAAATCTATCATATATATAATTTGTTAAAATTTTAATGCACATGGGTTTTGTAACAAACAGATCGATGAGGTGCATGCATG